GGAGGCAAATTCAATTAGTTCAATAGGCTATTATCAATAATATTATATTTAATGATGCTGTAATGTCTGTATATATATATCTATCATTGTTCGATCAACTTCTACTGATTTAACTACTAATGAAATTTAATGGCTGGTTTGAATTATTTTTCTAAAGAGAAAAATTTTTCAACAACAGATTTATCATCTTCTTCAGAAATTCTTTTTTTCTCCAATTATCATTTTCTAATGTTTATCGACAAGTAATGAGTCGTTAAATAAATTATGTATAGCAGATTTATCTCGTTTTCGCTGCAATTAATTCTCATACAATAATCAATCTTCAGTTTTCCCTATGTAGCTAAGAATAAATATGTTTGATTGAACTTATTGTTTATACTATTGCTGATAAGTTGACGTGACTTGGTTCACAATCAACATTTTTCATTCTAATTAAAATGTCAATATTAATAAATTTCAGAATGCTAATAATAGTAAATCATTGAAGATTCATTATTCAATTAAACTATATTTGTTTCATAGAAATTGTAAAGCAAAAAATGCATATGTATTTGACATGTGCAGATTTTAATCAATCAATTATTCAAATATTTTTATCAAATAAGTAGACATAGAAATACTCGAATAAAATAGAATTTCGCATATATGACAAGCCAGAAAGTTGAATTCAATTATTGAATATATATGAAATTTAAGTATTCATCGAAACACAAACACATACACAAAGCAACTTTCTCACTGAGGATACCATAGAATCAGGCGCACAGACCAGTATTGAAATAGAGGCGATGTATCACGGGAGTCTAGGAAAAGCCAGTCAAAAGTCAACAGGGATGTCAGATGCATCTGAACACTTATTACGATTCTTTTGTCATTTTTTATACGTGTTTCACGAAACTTTCATGCTATATGGGTTCTTAGCAGCATTTTCAAAAGAGTAACTTCTCAAAATTCTGTGAAGCGTTATCACGTATTTCAATTGTTGAATAACAGGTGATGCGCAATAAATTATACTCTTAGTATTGTTGAAAATCTTTCACTATTATGTTCTTGGTTGAAATACGTTTTTTTTAAACCAAAATATGGTACTTGAAATTCTTTATTAAAGGTATGTATGATTAGATGCACAGCTTGTTTTATACATATTAGGGGACAGATGAAAAGTAAAGACATACAAATAGCTGTGAGAGATAAATGTAAAACTGGTGATTGACCAACAAAAATTTACGATTATTTAGGTGAAGTAATTTCATTATCAACAATCAAATTGTGGACTCAAATGACCAATAACATTTATTCTATCAAACTATCGTCTCCTTCCGGCCGCCTAGTTTAGGAGATGTAGCTGTTGACAAGAAGATTGGCGAGGACTCTGAAACGAATATTACGTAACGATCTTGATTATTTCCACACAAGGAAATTAAACAATCAAAATTGATCAATCTTCAGAAAAAGAAGAAGATGAAGTTTGCGAATGGGATGTTAAAAAGTTCCACTAAAAAGTGACTTTTTGCGAACGAAAAACCTTTTTTTTTTAACTATAAAGAATGTTTAATAATCACAACGACTGAACGTGTCTGTGAACGGAGGGAAGAGGCTGACATGCGAAAGGTACTGTTCATAAAAAAAAACAAAAATTTTCAGTAAAGGTGATGGTATGGTTTGATCTATATAGATAAGGGCTAACAGTGCCAGTAATTTCGACAGATTGAACAATCGATGCAAAAAGATACATCAATGATGTTCTTTTAATGACTTTGAAATCTGACGACAAAATGCTAGGAAACAACTGACCAAGTAAGCAGGAGAGGGCTAGACCTCACAAGCATCACCTGAGTCAAAAATGGTATGCTTATCATTTTTCTGCATTTATTTCGATGACCTATGGACTAGCAAATTTACCTGATATACGCTCATTAGACTATAGTTGATAGAATAGAATGAACTGGCTGAAGCTATAAATTGGAGTCGTGTAACAGTAAAGGCAACATTGAGGGACGAAAAAAAGTTTTCTATCAAAAAACTTGACAAAGAAAATTTTTACATTCTGTATGTGATTTTACTGTACGAAAAAGGTTGATTCCTCCACAAAAAAAGAAGGACACTATGCCATATAATAAAATATACCATTTTATAAAAAGCTTCAAGTGCTGTCTTTTGATAAAATAAGTGTTTCAATGAAAGGATCACTGATCTTTATTTGATATCCTTCATAATATAAAGGAAATAATGACAAATCTGGATTTGTATGCTGTATTCATTAATCTTTCGTCTTTAATGAGAATAAAACCTTGTCACGAATTATCTTGCGATGAGAAAGCATAACATCCAATCAACCGGATAATATAGGAAAATCTATTCTGTGCCACCTGTTACAAAGACAAAATGTTAGAAGAAATAGGCTTTTTCTTAAAAATCTGTTTATTCTGGACGCTCAGAGGTAGTGAAACGTCTAAAAATTGCGATTTTCACTTGAACATCTTTTATGGATGACCCTATATTTGAAAAGATCTTCAATAATCGAATTGAAATTTCAGGTTTTGACGCTAAAGAAGTTTTGTACGCATTGAATTACCGCTCAAAATCTTTCAGCTTTTTGTTTGGCATCAATTTAATATTCAAATTATAAAGCCGATATTAGTATCGAGCGTGAAAAACCTTGACCGATTCCATCTCGATTTAATTGTCTTGTTTGTCTTTTCATGGCAGCTTTATTGCTGTGGTATTGCAATATACTGTGAAAAATCAGAATAACCTTTGAATAGAAACTATTAAATACTTCAAAACTTATGTGGCTTTATTGTTTATGTTGAATCATTTTGAATACTAATACTGAGAGTAGTTTTCAAGCTTGCTTTTTGACAAAAATTATCATGAAATATTATTTTTTTTGTTGAAGTTGTTAGAATAAACTCGAAATGTATGCAACCTATTATTCATCGTACAAAAAAAAAGGTACTACGATTTATGAGATATTTATTGCTTGAAACTCTTCTTTCAAGTGTTTGTTACTTGATAATGCAGATATTCTTGAAGTATTAATCCAAATGACAAAAAGAAATAAAATACTAACAATGTTTAAGATATTAAAGTCTAATCTGTATAGAAATTGATGTTTATATCGGACATAGTATTTATTATATCTAATTTTATAATTTTTTTTCTTTCTGTCTCTTTCTATTTTTGTTTATAAAGAATTCAATCAATAGAAAAAAAAAAGTAGAATAATAATGCAGTTTTTTTTCTTGTCAGATGAAGAGAAAGTCAAGAAGCCACCTGCCAAGAAAACGTTTGTATGTTTGCAATTGTCGTTATGCATTTTAAATGTTTCTCTGCCGATAGATTTTTTTTTTCGCTATGATTCAAACGAGAATTGTGACAACAAAAAAATATATAAGAAACCCATCTATATATAAACTAAATAAACTGATTTCTTTTTAAATAAATTAAAATACAAAATGTCACAAAAAAATACTCGTCATGGTAAATTAAGAAATTATTATTCTTCAAAAAGCAAAAAAGACAAATTTTTTCTTTTAGTTTCAACTAATATACCATCGGCTCGAACAACAATTAAAAGTGCAGTATCTACTAGTACTCGACCAACAGTAACTGCATTGTCACGAGCAAGTAATATTGAATCTATAGATTATAATGCCGTAGATACAGCTAGGTAATTCGATTAATTAGAAGAAAAAAAATATAAAAAAAGTGAATTGTTGAAAACAAGAATAAAAGAATTTTTTATTAGAAAAGAAGTTCTTCAAAAAGAACAAGAAGCACATCGAGCATGGACAACCAAATTTGATCCATGGTTGATTGATGAATATCGACAAGTAAGATATGTTTAATTTTCTTAGAAAATTTTATTTATTAATGATGAATTATAGATGTATGATAGTATAGCTAAAGTTCATGGAATTTCTCGTGAGAATTGTGTTATTTCTCTGAAACGTACGGAATGGCAACAACCAGCTAATGTCTTTCCACCATTACATAAACGTTTAGCAGGTCAACGTCGTCGACGTTTATTAGGCGCATTTCCAGAAACAGAAAATGACGTGAGCATTTTGAGTTATTTTTGTTTTACTTTTGATTAATGAGTTATATGTGATGGCTTTTTTTTTCTTTTTTTTAATAGAAAATTGGTTGGAAAATTTTGCCACAACAAGCTATTGAAATTTATGAACGCACTAAATCTGCTAATATTAATCCATTACCAAGACAATATAAATTTTCTAGTTGGCCAACTGAAAGTTTCTATTAGTTCAACGTAGACATTTTCTTTTGTAATTTATATTTATATTAATCAAAATAATAAAAACAAAACAAAACAGAAAGATAAGATAACTAACATTATGATTGTGGAAAGCATAGAGACCACATTGCTTGTGTAATGCTTTGTCCTTATTAGAGTACAGTCAAGAAAAAAAACGAAGAGGAAAGAAAGAATATGGTAAAACGATAAAAAGCATTCATTTATCTTTCTTTCTCGTTCGCTTGCCCGGTTGCTTCGTCTCATTTTTTGACAACTACGAATAAGTAATGTTGACGTTACTGCTGCAGTGATCATCGTCGATCATCCGTCGATCGTCGTCATGAGGGAGTGAAGGATGCAGCAAAAAGAAGAGAACGCGCATATATCTTTTATGTTAAGGTTTGGTGTATGCATTCGATCTCAATACTTATGTTGCGTTTATACATATATTTATTAATGTTGAGTTGAGTGTATATTTATATGTACAGTTTTACTTGTTAAATATCACCTTGATGTGTGTTTAAAATGAAGCACTTATTCGTGATATCGTTTATTCATGCTATATGTAGCTCGAATTAATTCCAGAAAAAAAAGTCGATTATGTTTGAGTCACATAATATTTTGTCTCAAATTTGTTTTCGATAGTTCCTTGATATAAATATTTATATATATATTATCCTGTTCTTTATAGAAGTATTAATAATCAATTTAAGATTTGTGTACAATTAATTATAAAATCAAAATGGGACAAAAAACCAGTAAACATCAAAAAGATTTAACTTCTTTGTCAGATGACGATGTTGAACGATTAACAAAAAATACAACGTATACAAAACAACAAATTCAAGATTGGCATAAAGGATTTCTTCAGTATTAAAAAAAACTGACAACAAAAAAAAACCAATTAATATATAAATATTTTTTTTATTATATAGTGATTGTCCTAATGGCAAACTTGATAAAAAGAAATTCTTAGAAGTGTATAAGGTATAATATTCATTTGTCAGTTGATATAGAAACTGTTTATTTTTGTTTTATTTAGAAATTTTATCCTGAAGGTAAAGCTGAAAGATTTTGTTCACAAGTTTTTAAAGCTTTTGGTAAATATTGATGGTTAAAAATTTCAATTTTTTTAAAATTTTCTCTTCTACGATTTAGATTCGGATGATAATGGTTATATTGATTTTCTTGAATTTATTATTGCTGTGAATATAACATCTCATGGTTTGTATTTAAAATAAAAAATCTGATTAGGAATAAAATTTTTAATCGATTCTATTTTCTTCTGTTTTTAGGTGACGTCAGAGAAAAACTTCGAGTCGCTTTTGATATGTACGACATGAATAAAAATGGAAAGGTAATTTTGAATATAAAACAAAAGAAAAATTCTCAAGAGAGATTAATAGAATTATTAATTGAAAAGTTCTTGAGCTGTTTGATGTGACTTACGACCACGTTGAATATAGATATATATCTATATACATATATATGATGATATAATACTATATATATACAATCTACCAATCGTTCTTATTCTCTGGTATAAATAAGGCCAGCTGTTGCATGCATATATATGTCGTCGTTGGGCATGTCTAACAATCGTAAAAAGGAAAAATACCAATTGTTTTTGTCGTTTCTTATTTCTCTTGTATTCTTAGAGTCTTTAAAAGAAGCTCTACCGCTGCTTCCTATTACTTCTGCTATCAGAAGATTGAGTTTCTATGCTTTTTTTTTTTTTTTTTTCTTAACCAATGACTATGACATTATAAGCATGAGATGAAAAGGACACTCATAGTATCGCATCATCGCACACTCTTGTTACATTATGTTGTCAGTAAGTAAAAAGCGCACAGACAAACTAATAGTAAGTGTTAGGAAACCGAATATAAATTGGACGTTTGTATAAGCACATAGTGCATCTTTGATAACCATTTTTCCTCTTTACTCTCTTTTGCAAGCTGCTGACTTGTCGACATCGTTTGTCGTCGTAGGATAGAAAAAGAAAAAAGAATTGTATTAGTGAGAAGACAGAACATAAAAGCAACTTGTATGCGTGTGTGTTGGCCAAAGAACAACACATCATTTACTGTTTTGTGTGCTATTGTTTTTTTATGTGTATTACCTCTTTCACACACCTTTCTTTTTTTCCTTGCTTTCAATCGATCATTTTCATTTTGTTTTCCTCTCATGTGTGTTGCTTCTTTCATATCATCCCATTTATAAAAACGATTTTTGTTATATTCTTATAATTACCTCTATTCAGATTTAGTTCTTTTTTCCGTAATAATACTACAATGGGTCACAAAGAAAGTAAAACTGTTGGTGTTGAATTAGACGATGAAACAATTGATCGTCTTACAAAAAATACAAACTATACACCTGAACAAATTCGTCAATGGCATCAAGCATTTTTACGTGATTGTCCAAATGGAAAATTGTCACCAAGACAATTTACAGAAGTGTATAAAAAATTTTATCCAGAACATGAAGCTGAAAAATATAGTCTACAAGTATTTCGTACATTTGATATGGATAATAATGGTTATATTGATTTTGTTGAATTTTTACTTGCTGTAAACATTAATTCAAATGGTGATGTACGAGATAAATTGGGTCTTGCCTTTGATATCTATGATATTAATGCCAATGGACAAGTAAGATAGTAAAGGTCGTACTTTTTTCTCTTGTCTATGTGTACATATCCGCTCAATAATAAGCACACGACATACATGTATATGTTGCATCACTGATTATCTTACGCTGGTCGTCCACGCGCGTGATTAATCCTCAACTTTTTTTTGTCCTAAAGTTCAGTAATATGTCACGTTGAGTTATTGTTTTCTTTTTTTTTTGTTTAGATCGACAAGAAAGAGATGACGAAAGTGATTACGGCTATTTATGAACTTTTAGGTTTGCATTTTGTTTTATTGTTAATCTCTAAAAGATTTTCATTGTTTGCTATTATCTTTCTTTTTTTTTTTTTTAAGGTGAAGAAAATCGTAAAGGTGACAATGCACCAGAAAATCGTGTGAAGAATATAATGGAAAAATTAGATCTTAATGATGACAAAAATATCTCTCGTGATGAATTTGTTGAAGGTTGTCTTAAAGATGAAGTACTTCGACAGTTATTAGCACCTAATGTTTAAAATAAAATTATAAAAAAGAAAATAATAATAAATTACAACAACAACTAAATTATCTGAAAAGCATGTGAAAATAAAAGAAAAAAGAAAGCTATCTATTTTTCTGATTATATTTATCATTCATATATATGTTTTATCAGGCAGGTTCTTTTTATCTAGGGTAGTTATGTTCAATTGTTGAATATATTTGTCTGGTATATGTATTCTTCTTTAATCTTTTATTTTTTATTTTTAGGAAAACATGCTATATTGTTGTCTTCTGCGTTTTGTCTTTGCTTGCCATCTTTTAGTTCTCATTTTTAATCTTTGCTATTCTATATTTGTTTTCTTTTCTTTTTCTTCTTTTATGTCAATCAGAAAAAAAAACAGCTTCACATACTACATCAACGTTGTAGGAATATCTTTATACAAACGAATAATAAATATATATATATATTGTTTGTATGAGCATGTGATTTTGAAATCATTCTTTTAAATTAACTTTAAAAAAAATTTTAATTGTAGCTATCATGAAAATAAATATCATTCGATTATATATAATATTAAGTTTATGAAAATTTATGAGATACCAAAACTGAAATACCTCATTTGCATTCGAATGCATTACATATGACAATTCAACACAGCTTTATGGTAAATATATATGTCTCAGATAGAATCTTGCATAAAACTTCGAAACCCGACTCCAGCGGAATCTTGAAGAAAATTCTTCAAAATTGGAGCGAAGAATCTTTTTCGTGGTCAACATCGAAATTATATTAGCAAAACAGTCAAGATTCTCTTTTTTTATTCACATATAATAGCAAGTTTATTCTTTATATGTTACGTAAAAAACAAAAATTCACTCAAATGTTTCAAGAAGAAAAAATTAATCAGAAAGACATGCTCATTACCAAGTACCAATAAAAAGACATATATGCTTATCAGCAAAAAGAAAGGTTTGACTCCGCAGGAAAAATTTCTCCAAGACAAAAATTATGTTTTAGTTTCTCAGGAGAAATTGAAATTTTGAAGTTTTCCTATAGGAAAGCTTTCGAAATATTTCCGAACTATAATACTTCAAAAAATACAACGATTCATCTAGAAAAGCGACAGTTGTTCGTAGCGACAAATGGGCTCTGAAATAATTAGTCGCATATATGACAGAAGGGTGGTTCTTATTCGACTATCCAGAAACCTCTATTTGCAGATGTGTGACTCTATCATACACAGAAGTGATAAGGATGAGGATGACACATGAAAAATGAAAATTTACCCCATGCAATGAATGCAAAGATGATCTTGTTGATAGAAATTAATTTAATGTTGACATATATGTTTTACATTGATTGGAATGCTACAAAAAGATAAAAATTATATTGACTGCTTCATAGAGAAAATTGCATCAAACAGAAGCTATACAATAAGGAAAAATTATAGTAGATTATACGATATGTTTACAATAATTACTATTTACACTCATGTAAAGTTTCGTGCTCCATTTCAAAAGTTGGTTGTACATTAACATTGATACTCGTATGTAACGTTTTTTTATCCGTAAGTAGATTGTTAATTGTTTTTTTAACATCTCAGATTTCTGTTTTTCAAAATGCTCTGAAAACTTTCTTTTACATACTTCAACTGGAATGATTAATTCCATATTCATATACAGTTTACAGGCTTGAATGAAGATGATGATTGGTAAAGTTCTTGAATCAATGTCAGGTAGGCTGTAATAATATAATTAGTTCGATAAATCGAATACTTGAAGCCGTAAGAAAGTTGTATCTAGTGAATAGGATCAATATCATTCAATGATGATCGAAACTGTCTATCACCTAAGTATATAGTTCGTTCTTATATGATTCTTAAGCAATGCTAATTTTATAATATTCTTATTAAATAGCGCTTCAATGGAAACCGTGCGTTAGAAAATGATAGCCAAGTGAACATGCTGTCAGATTATATAATCAGATGAGCGTATATGATAGATTGTTATCTTGAGTAGTTTTAGATGATTACAAGGTCTTGTTGATGCATCACATGTTGCATATTCTCATTCAGAAAGATGATATTGGATGACAATATCTTACGGCAAAACCATTCAAGTTGACAGCCATCGTTTGAGCTCATTATTAGGCTTCAAAGGATGCCTTGATAAGATTATTAAAATTATAAAACGACTCGTTCCTATGAGCCTTTGCAGTCGAGCTATAATTGTTTTTACTATATTTCTATCTGAAATTTTGCTCATTGATAGGTCAAATAACTTTTAGAGAATATCCAGAAAGTTTCAGCCGAAAGGAATATTTCTTTGTCTCGATACTGAGGTCTCAAGTACAGTCGAGTTTTGTATCGTGCCTGTGGCAAGCGATACTTTTTAGAAATTTGATATTTCAAGAGGAAAAAAACATTCTATTCGGCTGAAACTTTCACGATATTCTGAGGCTCATCAGACCTATCTTTGGTCGAAATTTTCGGGAGAAAATTGTCTTTTTTGTATTTTTTGGTATGTGTCTCAAAATTGGTTCGAAAATTCAGTAAAACAATCATGACTCGACTTCATAGGCTTATGAGAATAAACCCTTTTAGATTATTGCAAGCCTCACCAGGGCATTCTTATAAATCCAATATCAGCTCAAATGGCGGCTATCATATGGAGTAGTTCTCTTGTTAGAAAAATTTCACAATCGTATATTTTCTGCTATTCTAAAAAGATCCTACCAGTTTAGCTTCGTATCTTTAAAAATATGACTTCTTGATTGTTTAATTTGAGGTGTTATTATTGCAAAAAGAGGATGATGGAAGAAAGATTCACATAATTCGCTTTGTCATACCGATAGAATGAAACAGTTCATTCAATGAAAGTAAACTATGATATTGTGCATTACTGTTAAAAGTGAAAAAACAACTCGATCTTTTTATTCATGCGTCATTATTTAAAGGATGAGCGAACCTTTCTAAATGGTAAACTATTTTTGGTAGTTCCTATTAAGATGAGTGAAGACCCAAAAAGAATTATGTTCATCGACTTTTTATTTTGCATTGCAGTCATTTTCGTAAGATTTTCAACAAAATATCTTAATCTCCTCTTATCACCTTCGAAATCGATATCTTTCCTAAGCTATCAACATTGAAAATTCTGTAATGCAAAAAAAAGGAAACATTGTTCTTAAAGTCTATATTTAACCATAGAATATTCTAGTCAATCTAACAGCTTCACAAAACATTGTTGTCATTGAGAACTTTATTTATGCAAGATTTCAAATCGAAAGTCGATTCGAAAGGAACTTTAACAGTTTGTTGTATAACTCATTGTATAGCCGTACCACAAATCAAAAGATTTATAGATATAAGTTCTTTTAAACTTTCTCTCGTCTCAGTCGATTCTATCTAATGATGTTAGAATCATCTCAAAAGCAATTTATAACTCCCTAGAGTGTTACATAGAGGTCGAGATATTTCCATCTAATTGCTCTAGTATCAAATTGACACCACACAATATGTAGATATTCAACAGCATGTAGGAAAAAGCATCAATATATCAAAACTGTTATGAATACAAAAATTTTCTCAATGGTATCTTTTTAAAGCATACAAAAACTAGTACGAAATTTTGAATACATACTACTAGACAGGCACATCACAGCAAAAAAGACCTTGATAAAAAAATCAAGAAAAAAACTAATACAAAATGTACAATCAACAAATAAAAATAATGAGATTAGGAAGATAGAAGATTTAATCATTAGGTATCATGGCGTACAGGATGTTGTTGTAATCGTTGTTTAGTTATTTCTTTCAATGTTGTTGTTTTTTCATGATCAATAAGAACATAAGATTTTGATGTACTGGGAACAAGTGTAGCTGCAATTGTATCATCATTTTGACTATTCGATAGGGTTACATTTGATTGATGCTAATTATGAAAACAAAATGAATTTATTTAGATAATTATTGTAATCGGAAATTGTTTTACCATTTCAAAAGTTATTGGTAATTCTAATGATGATTGTGATTTTTCTCTTTGTGTTTGAAATTCTGCATAATTTATTGAATTAGGATATTGTTGATTGCCTTTTTCAAAAATAAAATAATTTTCTGATAAATTCGTTTGAGAATTTCGATAAAATGATGTGTCTGATGATAATGATATTGATGATTGTGTTCGTCGTAGATTATTAAATGCTGATGAAACAGTTGTTAAACTCGATAATGATTTATCTTGTTGTTCATTGAGTAATTTATTTGAAATTACTGATATACGTTCATCTAAACAATCAACAAGATGTCGAGCTTGTTTACAACGAAATGCATAGCGTGCAGAACCAAGTGGTGCACGACGACCACATTCAAGAATAAATATTGAACCATCTAAGCCATAACGTTTTATTGTATTAAGTGGAATAAATAAGGATTGTCGATGTTTTTGATGTATACATAAATTATCATTTAATAATTGAATTTTGGCTGTCGAATGTTTTCGACCATACGAATTTATGTTATCAACTTTAAATATACTTTCATTATTTATAAAAGAAGTATCAGTTGTTGAATTATGATTTCCCATATATCTGAAAAAGAAAACAAATACACAAAAACCATCACATTTATAAAAACAAGTGTTTATTATGTTTTTTTTTTTCATCAAATTTGTGTTTTTAATGAAATTCGTGGTACAATATTCATAGATTGTAATTCCTGAAAAAGTAATTTGCAAGCATAGGGAATTTTTATAGTTGCCACATCTAATGATGATTTGCAAAATTGACACCTGAAAAAAAAGTTTTTTTGTTCATTATTTTGAAGAAATTAAAGAGAATTATTTTTTACCATCCATTATAACCAAATAGACCACATTGGTTACATACATCGACTTGAAATTGATCACTCGATATCATTAAACGTTCAAGTATAAGCATACTAAAATATAAAGCATAGAAAAGAAAAAAAAACCAATTTGACTTTTTTTTACCTTGCACCATAACCGATTAGACAATCACCTAGAAATAAACAAAATATCA